TGGTCAGTTGGTCTATTTGTGCATCTCTCGACCAGATATCTCTCATGCTGTTGGTATTGTCAGTCAATTTGTTAGTGCCCCACGTTCTGTACACTATGCTGTCTTATTACGGATTCTTCGGTACCTCCGGGGTACTAGCACTCGCTCACTTTTGTTTCCTGCTACATCTAAGTTAGAGCTTTGTGCATATTCTGATGCTGATTGGGCTGGTGATCCAACTACCAGAAAGTCTACCACAGGTTATTGTATATTTCTTGGTGATTCCCTTATTTCCTGGCGAAGTAAGAAACAAGATGTTATTGCTCTTTCCAGTACTGAGGCAGAGTATCGTGCAATGTCCACAACAGCTAAAGAGATTATTCATCTTCGTCGCCTTCTCAGTGATTTCGGTATTTCTGTTACGACTCCTACTCCTCTCTACTGTGATAATAAGAGTGCCATCCAGATTGCTAATAATCCAGTATTTCATGAAAGGACCAAACATATTGAGATCGACGCTCATTTTGTCCGTCACCAAGTTATCAAGGACAAGACAATTCTAATTCCTCATGTTTCATCCGCTGACGAGCTTGCAGATTTCTTCACAAAGGCCTTACCTGTTCATCGGTTCCAGTTTCTTGTACGCAAACTCACTTTGTTTGATCCAACATGAGTTTGAAGGGGGCTGTTGATAATAGTGTATTGTAGTGGGTTTTAGTCCCACATTGCTTGGGAGAACAAACCTCACACTCCTCTACTTGTATAAATATATGTGCACACTCAATATTCAATTCAAGGAAAATTTACCCAAGATTCTCTCTCTCTCTCTTACTTTAACAGTGAGGAAATGATTTTGTAGCTAGCCTGTTCCGAATCTGATAGGAATTCACCAAAATCATACACTTCAACCAAGAACTCCCACGACAAAGTTGCAAACAGCCATTAGTACAGACTCTGATCAATTCTAACCCAGGAAACATAATCGCTGCTAATATGCTGACTGCTAGCTGTGTACATTGGAGGAGGAGGGGGAGGGGGAGGGGGGTTACGATCCATCCGCGAAACCAGAAGGTTATGAGAAATCAAAAGAGCAGTAAATTTAGTCTTCCGCATCAGGTAATCCTTCACGGCAGATAGTTTAACGGTGACTAAATCTGTGACATTTGGCGCCATGAGTGCAGAGGGAACACAAGGTGGGGATGGAGGGGGGCCACAGACAAGAAGTTGCCCGTTGTTGATGCCACCAGAAATATTCAACCCATGCAAGCCCGCTGCCACCTGATCGACGCCAAGACTGGGCACGGAAGATGGAGGGGTACAGCGAAGCAAGAATCGGGTTCTACGACCACAGAAGTTGTGAGAGGAGAGGGACCACAAGGTTTTTAGTGGAGATAGAGGTGGAGGTGGTACGTACGGCAGTAGTGGGAAGAGGCGGCTGTGCATAGAAGGGTACAGCGCGGTGAAGTGATGCAGAGTGGGAGAAGAGGGCTGTCCGCGCCTTGTGGCTGGTATGTCGAAGTGGAATTGGCAGAGGTGTTGGCGCGTGACAAGCGCTGGGGGGTGGATAGGGGTATTGGAGGAGGTTGTGGCTGCTGTCGATATCATCACCAAGGCGCAGGAAGAGGACAAGAGAGAGGGTGCAGCATGCATGTATGTTGCTATCAACTGAGGGAGCGGTATGCTATCGACGATCGACGTAGGCTCTCCTGTAGGGATTATGTCTTTGATTCTTTGTATAATATCATGAGAGTTAGATAGGGTTAGAGATCTATCATGATTAGGGAATTGATTCTCATCATGATTAGAAGTTTGAATCCTATTCTAATTAGAAAGTTAGGCTAAATATAGGGTTTTGATTTTCCTATATATATTCTTCTATTGTTAGATGAAAAACCAAGAAGAAGGGAGAACCAATATTCTTGTAATTTAGGGTTAGCAAGGGGCGTAGCCTGATTCAAGAATATTGTGCAAGAGGCGAGGGTTTCGTAGTCTTTTATCCATGCAAAAGATTACAACATTAGGAGAGGGTTTCGCAGTTTTTATCCGTTCAAAAGATTGTAAGGAGAGGGCTTTAGAGAGAATATGAGAGATGATTATGTATATGAGGTTGAGAGATTGAGAGATGAGAGTTGAGTGGTTTCTTTTGTAGCTCTCCTTAATACATAGTGGATTTCTCGTATTATTGCCCCGTGGACGTAGATCGAAGTTGGTCGATCGAACCACGTAAATGTCGGTGTTCTTTCTTTTTGATTGTGGTTATTTTATATCTTGTTGATTGTGGGTTGGCTTCCGAGTTGCGGAGATCGTAGTAGGCGGGGAGACTAAAATTCCCCAACATCTCCATGATGAGGTGCTTCGATCAGTCGAGTTAGATTAGGTTAGGGTTAACTTAGAGGTTGATGATTGAAGAAGATGATGAAATGAAGTAGGTTAATACATTAAGTATGTTTGTATTGGAAAAAAAAGTTTAGGTGAAATCCCACGCAGGGACCCAAATACTAGATTGTTAAGATCTTTTGAGACAATTTCCATTTTAAATTTGGGAATAGCTTGCCACAGCTAGGATAATGAGAAGATAAATGGTTTGAGATGGTAGCTATTTAAAAAATAAGGAAACACAGCATTTTACTCAATTCATAATAAAACCTACGGCCGCCAGCACTGTTGGGGAGCAAGATGGATAATCGCGCTTACAAAGCAACACATTTCTTTCCTTTTAAAAGCCCTCTCTCTCAATATTTTGCATGCAAAAACACATTTGGCTGTAGCTGGAGGCATTTAACATGAACGATCTCTTTGTTTCTCTCGTATTGGAGGGAAACATTTAGCGACGAACGGCCTCGCTTATAGATAATTGTTCTCTAGAAGCTAATTTGGGTAGGATATATAATATTGTCCTTCTAATTTTTATTTAACGGAGTCTTTAACAGAGAATTAAAATAAGACTAAATTGGTATCTAACAAACATAAGGTGTTTGAACTAAGAGGGTGTTTGAAAGGGCTTATTTTAGGAGCTTATAAGTAGTGCTGATTTTTAATGGCTTTTGATTTTTATGACAAAATTATTATAAAAATTTCTATATGTAGAATAGTCATTTACTTAGTCAAACCTAACTTATTTACTTGAACTTATAACCTAGTCTTTTTAAAAGTTAGAGAATCCCAGCTTTTTACAAATGTGACTTATGAACCAACTTACCGGTGATCTTTTAATTAAACACTTAGATACGAAAAGGGGGGAAAACTAGTTTAAAAGCTAGTTTTAGAAGAAAAAAAAACTTTCCCGAACACCTTCTAAGATAAGGGAGAAAAAGATGCTGAAGTAACTATTATAACTATGGGCACACTATTATAAGGACTAGAGCCTTCCTATTTTACATGGATCTAAGGGTAGATAATCTTTTATACGCCCTCTCCGAACACTACCAAACAAGTATCTTTCTGGTGACTTCTTGAAATCCCAATTAAGATGCCCATGACAACATGAATGATGTCTTATGCGTCTATGGCCTGTACTAACTTAAAGAGTAATAGCATTATAAATGAACACATGTGAAGAGGAGAGAAGAAAGGGCTTACAGTGTGCTAGTAGCTTCAGCAGCTAGGTGACCTTGAACCCATGGCCGCAGTCAAAAAGCCTTGTTATGCATTAAATGGACTTTAACTGCGTGGAACAGCACAGCTACGCTTCAAAGGAGGAGGTATAGCTAAACCCTTATCCTTTCCTATTCAATGCGGTGGATATGCATGCACTGGCGCCTGCCTCTCTATCTAGAGACCCCCCCCAACCTCAAATAAAGTGTCATATAAAAACATAGAGGAAGGAAGGAGAATGTGACGTGCGTCTCACTGAAAACCTTAAATCATCGAAAATAGTATACAAAATGCAGGAAAAGCAAAGAAATCACTAGAATTACCTAGTTTAAATTAAGGATTAAGTGCACATCCACCCCCATGTACTATGGCTTTTCTTTCCCGTAAGTTTAATATTGACAGATAAGACTCTTAGGGAACTGAACTGAACATCTCGCCTTCCACCCCCCTCTTCGTTGGATGGTGCTTCGCTCACAACAAGGTTTGTGGTGGAGATGGAGTGGACAGTGAGGAAGGCCGGGCTGCTACAGTACATGAGGTCTATCTACAATGCACAAATTATCTGTAATAGCTTTTAGTTGCGGTGGTCCATGTTGAGTTGCCTCAACGCCCAAGGCACTCACCATAGTAGGCTGCGGAGAGAATCAAATGTACGTAGTTTTACCCCCGCATGTGACGAGGTTGTTTCCTCATCCAATCAAATTGAGAAGTAATAAGTGATGCATCGTGATAGTGGAGGACACCTTGTAGGCTTGTCTTGCCTTTTTGCTACATGAAATCTACATTTAATACCCTGCAGAAGAAGAGGCCCTTATTCTCTTGCTGATACTCAACATCGGATCTATACATTAATAAGGGCGAGGTTTTTTTTTGTGGGCCCCG